AGCCCAACAGGTACGACCCCCCTGTCGAGGATTTCCTCGACCGATATTCACCCTGATCAGGACCCTCGATAACTACCGTCGCAGAAGTTTAACGAAAATTATTTTTTCACCCATCTCGGCCCCGAATGGGGTTGTAATAGTGCAATAGTGCCACAAGTTCTTCTCTTCTCCTCTACACTCAGTGTTCCTTCTTTATTGTTTGGTTCATCTTCTTTTTTCATAGATTTGTTAACTTACAACTCTTTCAACAGCTGTTCATTATAGTTACCAGTTGATGTTATAAATTTTATTCTTTGCTTTGAGTCATGCAGTCAGTCCCGCTTCGCCAGTTGCAGCTGGCGCGTCATTGAACGCATAAATAAATGAATGAAAAATAAATTCACCTTTAAATGAATAAATCTATCTAAGGAATGTCCGATCGTCATCGCTGATTGGGTTTACGATCTGTCTCGAGTGAATCTATCGGATCCTCAAGGCAGCACTCCATTCAACAAGCCGACAATTCGTCTCAACTACGATCCAACTGGACAAAACGAGAAAAAGCACGTTGCAGGTGGGCCTGCTATCGCTTTTTATTACATTAGTTAAAGGCTATAGAGGGACACGCTCGAGAGAACACTGAGAGGGGAATCACTTCAGAAATGCTTTTCGGGGCTAGAAAACAATTTGCTCAAGGTAATTCATGACTAGCGCGGAAATCGTGTAAATGGAACGGCCCCACTGGGGCGAGCTCAGGTGCTCCCTAAACATCAAATTGGAGGCGTTGAAATGCAGCTGGGTAAGAATTATGATTCTGTGGTGAGTAGGGATCAAGGAAGGGTTGAACACATCGTTATTCGAAGAAAATTCAACTGAAACCCATGCATGTGTTTTTTTTGCAGTACTACTACAACGACCAGATCAATGAGATTGACTACTGTAGCTTTTTACGTTACTATACGTAGCTCCCGACTTTTTGCGACAAACCGCCATTCAGCTTGGGCTCACGTGAACTTCAACATAGTACGATTGTATGCCACCTATAACATTTTCGTGACGAGTCCCGTATGCGTGTCCTCGTGGACACGTATTTCCCATGTTACGGTGCTCTGTTTGCAAGGAAACACTCGATATTCATGCAATTTCATTCATATTGTGAAGTTCTCACTCTCCACATGCGAAGCACTTATGAGACGATTTTGTATTCCAAGATGATCTGGTGTTGGCCGGCTCTG